TAACACACATGCTTCCAAACCATTTAAAATAAATAACTCTCAAACTAACCTAATCTCTCATGGAGAGGGATAAAAATGGCCGCAGAGAAACACTATGAGTAGGTTCTCCCATAAAAACAGTTAACAGGGAGGAAAAGCAGCAGGTCCCTGTGAGAACTGGGACACGGAAGATAAACAGGTGACTCCAGCAAACTGCCCGAAGAGGAAAGTTGCAATAAAAGATGACAAGAAGAGAGGAAAACATCAGAACCCTTCTACCCTCCCCCACCCACAAAGCTGGCACACTCAGACCAACAGAATGAAGGAAAAAAAAAAAAAAGAACAAGAACAAACTAGAGATAAAACAGGACAGGGAGTGGAAAGGAACTACTGCAGGTACCGCACCCCATGACCAGGAACTGTGGAGAACTGTGTGGGAATTACCACGGAGGTGAGTGAACTGCACCAGGTAATTGCAAACTCTGTGTTATTAGAGGAAGATAAGGACTCCACGGAGAGACCTGCAAACAGCCACAAGCCAGCCTGTAAGCTTGTGCAGAAAAGTGTGTGCAGACTCAAAAAGCATACATGGATCATGGCTGCCCAGGTCCCCATGCCTGTGACATAGGTTTGTGGGGAGATGTGCAGGAGCCATCACTGAGGTGAATGATGCTTACTGAGTAATCAAAAAAACAGATGCCTGGGCACAGGAGCGGGGTGCAAGAGGTGCCATTTCTGCAGACCCTGAACTGAGCTACCACTCACATCCTGAATCTGAGGGCTTCGAAACTGAGAACCGGGGCATAAAATTCGGGGCATGGGATCCCCACGGCGGCAGAGAATGGGGCAGACACAGCACACCCAGGCCATTGAGACACTCCACGCCACCCCCACTCTGTTCCCTGGAGACCCACAGGGTAAAAAGCACAGTTGTGGAAGGATACTAGGAAAGATCTCTGGTGCCTCCTAGTGATCATAACAAAATCACCAATTTCCTGATAGTTGGAAGCCAGGGATTCCAAAACCACCCTCAGGCTCTGAGGGGGGTGGGCCATGCAAACCCAGGTAAGAAGGGAAAAAAGGCATGGAGCAAGACCCCATTCTGCAACTGAGAGCCAGGTGCAGGGTCTGGGGTGTGGGACACACCATAATAGTGGGCACTGCACATGGTGACAGCCAGTGTTTTGGATCTGATAACCCTGGAATTGAGACCTAGAGCACAGAATTCAGGGCGCGGGATCCACACAGCTGTGGGCACAACACTGGGTGAACATGGGCAGACACAGCACCCAGCTTGAACAATAGCCCCTGTGTTGAGGTACTCCCCTCCTCTCTCCGTTTCTCAGAGAACCATTGGGAGAAAGCACCGGTCAGCAAGTACAAGTCTCTGGTGCCACCTAATGACCAGAACAAAATATCCAACTAGCTGATTCCCTGCTAGAACTGAGTAAATACAGAGGGAGGGAACAGTAAGGGACAGTGCCCAACAACACAGCCACAGCATTAACACCCTTGTGGAGTTTTGGCCTACCAGTGCTGGTCTCAGTTTGGTAAACAGTTTTTGACACCCCTGAAGGAACAATCCAAAGAGATGCCTACCAACACCAGTGGCACAATGTCCCAATGCATGGAACAAATTAGAAAGAAAACAGCAAGGAGAAGGAAAAATATAAATAACCAAGCAGGCCTGCAGGGGAAGGACACACCACAAAAAGACAAACAGTCACCAGAGCTCAACAATGTCATGGAAGAACTTCTCTGCCTGTCAGAGAATTAATAATCATCATGATTAAAAAGCAAAAGAAAACCAAAAACAATCATCATGATTAAAAAGCAAAATTTAAAAAAAAGCAAAACAAAAAGAAAAAAAATGATTTGAGACAAATAATGAACTGAAAAATGAAATTGAGACCTTAAGAAAGGAAAGAAAAGAAATGCAGGAGATGAAAAGATTACTGGAGGAGATAAAGAACTGTAAGAAAAGCAATGAAAACAGAATCGATGAAATGGAATAATGGATTAGTACTCTTGAAGAGACAGAAATAAAAAGAACCAAAAGAGAAAAGGAGAGAGAAGCACAAAGGAAGAAGAATGAGGACACTCTTTGATAATTATCAGACTCCATGAAGAGAGGAAATGTAAGAGTTATAGGCATCCCAGAAGGTGAGGAGAGAGACAAAGGAACTGAAAAATTATTCAAGGAGATTATTGAAGAAAACTTTCCAAACATGAAAAAGATGGATATAGAGATACAAGAAGCGAGAAGAACACCCAATTACCACAATGAAAAGAAAACTACATCAAGACACATAATAATGAAGCTTGCAAGAGTCCAAGACAAGGAAAAAAATAATGAAACTGGCAAGGGGAAGAAATAGATAACTTATAAGGGAAAACCAATCAGGTTAACTTCAGTCTTCTCTGAAGAAATGCTATGGGTGAAGAGAATGGAGTAACATATTTAGCAAACTCAACACAGCAAATGCCAACCAAGAATACCCTAAAATCTCTCCTTCCTCTATGAAGAAAAAATATGGACCTTCTCAGATAAACAGAAACTCCAAAATTTGTTACAACTAAACCCCTACTCCAAAAAATTCTACAAGAAGTCCAAAGCCAACAGAGGAATGAACAAGAAAAACAGAATAAAGTAAGGAATAAAATCACAAAAAAGACCAAAAAAAATGGCAAATACAGATGCCAACATATCAATATTAAGTCTAAATGTAACTGGATAAAAACTCATCAATAAAAAGTCACAGAGTAGCAGGCTGGATTGAAAAACAAAGTCTAACCATCTGCTGTCTCCAGGAAACACATTTACACATTTAAGTACAAAAGATAAACACAGACTTAAAGTAAAAGGTTGAAAACAATCCTGCAAGCAATGGATCAAAAAAGAAGGCAGGAACAGATATACTTATACCAGATAAAATAGAGTTCAAATTAAAAAAGGTAAAAAGAAACATAGACGGACACTACATTATGATCAAGGGGACAATACATCAGGAAGATATAACACTCATCAACATATACTCACCAAATGAAGGGGCACCAAAATATATTAGACAATCATTATCAGCTCTGAAAACAGACATTAAAGAAAATACATATATAGTGGGAGACTTCAACACCCCATCTCACCAATGGATAGATCAACAAGACAAAAAGTAAACAAAGACATTAGAGTCCTAAATAAAGACATAGAACTCATGGACTTAACAGGCATCTATAGGATACTGCACCCAAAAAAATCTGAGTACACATTTTTCTTAAGTGCACATGCATCATTCTCCAAAATCGATCACAAAATTGATTCCAACTATCTTCTCTGATCATAAAGGCTTCAAACTAGAAATAAATCATGAAAAGAAAACAAGGAACCCTCCCACTTCATGGAGATTGAAATCCACACTACTGGAAGATCACTGGACTAATGAGATTGAAGAAGAAATTAAAAAATACTTTGAGTTGAATGACAAGGAGGACACCACTTTTCAGAATGTATGAGATGCAGCAAAAGCAGTAATAAGAGAGAAATATATGGCAATACAGGCATATGAAAAAATGTTCAACATCCCTTATCGTCAAGAAAATGCAAATCAAAACCACATTGAGATACCACCTTACACCAGTAAGAATGGCATATAACAAAAAAACTAGCAACAACATATGTTGGCAATGATGTGGTGAGAAAGGAATTCTCCTACATTGCTGGTGGGTGTGCAAACTGGTCTAACCACTATGGAAAGCTGTGTGGAGGTTCCTCTGTCTACTAAAAATGGAGCTACCATCTGACCCAGCAATTCCCCTCCTAGGGATCTACCCAAAGGACACAAAAACATTGACTCAAAAGAACATGTGTACCCCTATGTTTATTGCAGCACTATTTGCAATAGGAAAAACCTGGAAATAACCCAAATGCACAAAAAATAGATGACTGGATCAAGAAGATGTGGTATATATACACAATGAAATATTATTCAGCAATCAAAAAAGATAAACTCATGCCATTCACAGCAGTGTGGATGGAGCTAGAAGGAATTATGCTCAGTGAAATAAGTCAGAAGGAAAAGAAAAATATCGGATGGTTTCACTTATAGCAGGAATATAGGGGAATCAAATAAGACATCAGTGTGAAAAAATAATAACAATACAAAATACAACAAAGCAAAAACAGACAATTATAAATCAGAGATATCCTGCAGGGGAGGAGCAGGGAGAGGGATCAGAGGGAGGGAGGGAGGCACACAGGGGACTGAGGTGATGGTGCACGGGTGCCTTGGGGAAGGAAATTCTGTGGGGACTACACCCAAGGGGGTAGGGGGAAGCAAATATTGTTTAAAAATGAACAATGATGTAAAAATAAAAAATTAAAAAAAATAAAATCAATCACTCTCTTTTCTTTTTCTCTCAGGCATATCTTCTTATTTGATTTGGCAGTGATTGTATGTAAAAGGAAAGGTGATAACTATGAAATGAAGGAAATAATAGATCTCCAACAATACAAAATAGCCAACAATCCTACAACTGACAAAGAAAATAAAAAGGTGAATTCTTGGAAATTAGCAATGAATTGACTCATAACTTTTGAATATTTAAGGAAAATGCGCTAATGCATAATGTCAGAGGTGGTTTATGAATCCAAATGTTTTTGCCTCTGTGAGAAATAATTGAACAATGCCACAGCTGGTATGATTATCTCTAATGCTTTAATGATCAAGAGAGCAAAATGCATTTGGCATAGAAATTGTCATATCTGTGAAGTTGACTATAATAATCTTGATCATAGTTTGTACACTGAAATGTTATGAGAAGTTTTTGGGTGATGGTTGGTGGTGGTTTTATGAATTTTGAAATTTATTATTAATAAATGATATCTATTAACCCAAGGAATATTAATTTTAACAGTGGTCTTATGGCTTCTACCTTATCCATATCCAAGGACAAAATGGATTAGAATTTTATTGCAAAACAAAAGATTTAAAGAAAAAATGGCTGGAACAGTTTGAAATGGCTTTGTGAGTATTTCTACTTTTCAAAGTGCTTTTTTCCTACTACTGTTACCTCTTGTGAATAATGAATTACCAGTAAATATTGTAATGCTTGTGGAGAGTGCCCAGAGCTTGGGGAAGCACTGGCTGTGAACATGAGTGCACCCAACCTGTCTGCCTGACAACTTCTTCTAAGAGAGATGTTATGGTGAATTTCTTCAAGAAAAAGCGAGAGGGAGCTCTAACCTTCTCTTTGATTTTTGTTTTGTGGGAATTATCTACTTCTTTATCTTTCAGCAGTTCAGGAAAATATTAATTATTCTAATAATAAACTTTTAATGTAATTACTGTGTTTTATCTACTTATTTAAATTTACTAGAACTACCCCAAACATATATATATATATATATAGACATGTAAATATTTTTAACAGAAAAAGTGACTTTTTACCTATTTCTGTTTTTATCTGTTATTGTTTCAATTTTGGGATAAATTGTTGACTTATTCAATGAATGCTTTAAGACTTGATTTCTTTCAGTGTTTTTTCCCTTTTATTGAAGTGGAAGCTCAACAAAGAGGTGGAAATAAATGAGACCTATTTCTGAAGTAATGGCGTATAGAGATAATCACACAGGAATATTTCGTTATAGGGGGTTCTTTTCAGTTTTCATATTTATGGATTAAAGGTGCATTATGACCCTTGTTACAGAAACATATAAGTTGTTCTTTAGTTGAAAGTGTTAGGAAAATGTGAAATTAAGAAAAAGCACGCTGATTTCTTTCTTTTGTCTGCTGGCACCATTTGTGGAGAAAGTCTACCAGGTGTTTTGCTTTTTTTCTTTTGCTTTGTTTTGAAATGCTCATGCTCATGTAAAATGAAGGTAGCATTAGGACTTTTATTGTAGTTCTAAAGGGAGAAAAAATAATTTCTTTTGATTATTTTAGCTAACATTTTGAGAGTTACTAATACAACCAGATTATATTTAAATGTATAGGCAATATGGGCTCAACTATAATCACAGTCTGAACTGGCTGCCTGGTCTCAGCCAAGTTATTTACTTCTCAGAACTTCAGTTTCCTCTTCTGTGAGTGTGGATAATAATATTTATTTCATATTAAAGGTAATGTATGTCAAGCAAAGCCCTAGTTAAATTGTTTAATAGGAGTCATATGGTATCAGGCATTAAGTGATACCCATTGTTATTGTTAGTAATATGCTTTTGTGCTTAGAATCTGACTACTCTCATGAGTACTTGTAAGTAATCAGAATTAGCAATCATAAGAAATCAGAAGACATCTTCCAGTGTACTTCTTAAGAGTTCCTATAATTTATTGCTATTATTTGCAATACTTAAACAAAAAGAGGTTGGTGGTTTGTACATTAATGCTGTGGCTGTGCAGCAAACCTCTTTGGGTTGATCCAGTGACAAAGTTGGTGACCTCTGTCCAGTCTCTGATGGACAGTGGCTGCATCGTGATCTTAGTGTGATGCTTGAGTGGGATTTCAGCTGATTGGCAGCACTTAGAGTTGAGCAAGTGGAATTGGACTGACCGGATGTTGGATTGGTGGTAATGTGTGAAGACAAAGTTAATTTCAAGCTTTTGCTGTTGTGGGAAGAATGGTGGACCTTACAGGTTGTGTTTGAATATATAATCTCTAGAGGAATTAAGGAATTCTGCAGTGGAGGGCAGGTAAATCTCTTGTCCTGGTGTAGGGAGGTTCTTGGACTGTATGATAGATGTAACTTAAAGTTACATATTCACACAGTTGTACAGTTGTCATAAGTCAAACAGATAAACCCTGAAGACAAGAAACTTACACAACAGATGGTTGTGTGTCTTTCATTTAAAGCATCTGGGGCAGGTAGAGGAGTGGTGTGGATGAGGTTTGATAAGTCAGCCTTCTGGGTTATCATCAGGAGGCAGACCAGATCTTCCTGCTCTGCCATCATCAGCATTTGATTTCTCTCCTCAAGATTGGTTATCAGGTACCCCGTTGTTCAAGACAGCTGCTGGAGCTCCACCTGCAAAATCTACATTCTAGATTTTAGAAGTGGAAGGTGAGCACTTACTTTTGCAAAAATGTCATGCCCTTCTGTTACATAATACTGAGCAGAACTTAGTCATATGGCCATATCTGACAAAAGAACCTGGGAAGTGTGACCTTTATTCCAGACAGGATTGTGTCACTGAGAATTGAGGTTCTTTCATCTGGGGAAGGGAGAAATGTAGAGTTGCATGCAACTCGCAGTCACTGTCTTACAGGTATATACAGATATAGGCATGTGGGTGAACTTTCTGTGATTCTGCATGAGAAGGGTGACTGAACCACAGACAGGGAAAGTGGGATTCCTAATATTGGAGAATTTTCTAAGCATCTAAACAGTATCCTTCACCCTCCCTAGAAGTCACTGTTTGTATTTCAGAATTCATGCAGATGGGGAGAAAGTGGAAATGCCTTTACTGTGAATTGCTTAAAGCCAAAGTTAAGAGCTTCTGTAAGTAGGGATTAGACCATATATAGCAAAATAAAACAGTCCAAATTTTATTCAAGCTTTAGAATAATCTATTATTTATTTCCTCCCACCTTTTTTGGTGAATCTCAACATGTAGGCAAACCCTGCTTCCAGGTTTGTAAGACAGCTGTTGCCTATCTTCTGCTCAGGAAAATAGAATAATCGGGGTATGTCCTGCAGCTTCTAGGACTTTCCTTATGATTGAAACTTGACTATTTTATCCTTCATGTAAAGTTCTAGTGCTTTTATTCTAAAAGCCAAGGAGTAGGAAAAAAGTAAAGAAATCCCACAGCATTCATGACAATACATGAAAAGCAGTAAGCAACAAGACCATGTTCTTCCAGGCTCTTCTTCCAGTCATTAATAGGGGCCAGCACACCCTCCTCCAGCTCTGTGGAGTGTTGCTTTAAGAGACATTGGTGTCAGGGGTAGGAAGGAAATCAGGGGAGATGATATTTTAAGACTGATGAAATATTTGCCAGTTCTATTTACAGAAGATGGCAATTCTTCTGTTTATAGGATGATTGGATCATTTTTATTTAAAAAAATTACAAATCACCTTTAAGGTACTTAAAATACTTCTTTTAATTTAGAACATAAAAAAAGCCCATACAAAAACATGAATACTAAAAAACAGTAAGTCTTTGGTAAAGGCAAATTATTTCCTCAGAACTGACCTAAATCTCAGCTCTTTTTCCAAGCACCTCTTTCTGCTTGCTCGGTAGCCCTGCTCTTTGACCTTCTTCGGCCATAACCATTTTCAGCATTTAAAATATGCAGTGAACCACATCAGAACTTGGCGAACTTCCCTAAAAAAGGCTGAACAAAGAGAAAAGCAGCAGTGACCCACTTGGATAGGGCAGCAGGAAGAAGGATGTTTTTTCTTCTTTCCTGTGAGAAGAAGTGGCTGCAAGACTGATTATTCTTGAGGTTGGAACAGTTATTGAGCTGAATAGTCCTTGAAAGCTATTGTTCTGGGTACCCCACAACAAAGAGTGTATTTAAATCTTAAAGTACTGATGGGTGTGAGTTGCTTTTTCTTACTTTTTCCCAAAAAGACTTTTTGTCACTGTTTATCACAATTCTATTTATTTACCTATGAAATAGGATGACAAATATTTTTTTTATAAGCTTCAGCAAGTTTTTGTAATGATGTCAGAAAATGTGGATGTACGTGCCTACAGCAATGTACAAAATTAGGAAGAGATGGATATGTTCCTCTAAGATCCAGTATATCCAGTGTATTGTGAATTTTCTTGTTGGATTTAATGAATAAACATTGTCATACCCATTTTATTGCTTAGGAAAATAGCAGTCACAGAAACAATTCAGCAAATTTGTTCAAGTTCAAATGTGATGCAATTTACAGTAGAGTTTAGGACCTCAGTTTGCAGCATTTCCTGTATTCTTGAAGGTGCTAAAATAAGCAACTGGACTCAAACCCTCTTATCCAAAGCTGGAGTCAGGTTTTGTCTTTCTTGTTTTTCCTCTGTGACGAGGACCTTCAGAAGATCAGATGGTTTTCATAAATGTTCCAGAAGGAAGTCAAAATTGGGCAAAATATGAAATAAAGAAGTTGAATAATAGAATAAGAAGACTTTTTAAATGATGACTCAATTCAGCGAGAGAGAAAGCAAAAATAAAATGGGTGAAAAGCATGATTTGGTGAAAAGTGGAAGATTTTCAACTAGCCTCTGGTGTTCATTGAAGGAAGCCAAAAGTCTTGTCTAGAGTTTCTTCTCACTGACTTGACCCTATTCTTGAAATGCTAACAATTTGTATTTAATTCCCTATATAAAGGATGTTTCTTGGAAGATCATATAACATTATTACCACCACTGTCTGGGATTTCCTCACTGTGTGTGTGCCAGACATAGAGCTATAATGAATTACCTAAGGAAATATGACTTCAAAGTCATTAATATCTGCTAAAATTTTAATTTTAATTGCTAATAGTAATGGTGGTGGTGAGAAGAGCATGAAGTGGGGTATGGAAATTCTAGAACTGGGGAGGAGCTCCAGGGCCAGGCTGCATCTGGAGGGCGGCCCCTTAGCTTTGTTTACCAGGTTGAACCCCAGGAGTGCTTGGCCAGTGGGATCCAGCCACTAAATTCCACAAATTGCATTTAATCTGAGCTAGTGTTCCCCCTCCCCCCACTAATTTATTCCCCATATACCTAGAGAAGGAATTTGATATTACTGGCAGTAAAAGGTACACATGTTATCAAATGAAAATTAAAAAAAAAAATAGTCGGAGTCAAACAGACAATGTTTGAAAGCATTTTCCTCAACTCAGGTGCCACTGGGCAAGACCATGTTCTTGCAATTTACCTTCTATAGTTTGTATTATAAAAGCAGTGAATATGTTTTTCGCATCTCAAATGCACAATTATATTTTATCAGAAATACTTTGTTTTTATCTAAAGATATCCCTTATAGTCTAAATTGCAGAGAGATAACACTAGTGGAATTTTCATTCATTTTACAAATATTGACTGAGTACTTGCTTGT